GGCGGGGGGGGGCCCGGCCTCGCCGCCCCCACCGCCGCCTCCTCCTTCTTGGAGCCGCCGGCAGGCAGGCCAGCCAGCTGGGCGGGGGGGGGAAGACCGGCCTTGCCGCCGCCGCCTCGGGGAGATCGAGGGGGGGGATGGAGGAGACGGAGCTCTTCTCCCCCCGCGAGTATCGCGGGTCCCCCTCTTGTGTGTGTGTGTATGTATATCATAAGCATCATATATATGCCATGTGTGGGCTGGCTCTCCCATTAGGGAAGTTGAGGTAACCCACTTCACAAGATAGATGTTGGCTCACTATTAAAGTGTCAACAATATTTATTACTTTATTTTTCTTGTCAAAGGGGGCACTAATAGAATTTTCTGCCTTGCAATCCTTGTGAGTCATGCCTGAGTACAAAATCAGCTACACTTTAGTGCTGCAGAAATTATACTAATTCCAATGCATTTCGATAATAAAAACAGCCCCCCCTGCTCCAGCTGTTTTCAGATTTTCCTGTCCCATTAGCTCTCCAAAACCAGCTTCCACAATACGTTTCTTCATTCTTATTTCTCCGCAACTCATCACTTGTGAGAGTCTGATTGGATTTTCTTCCCATTTGTTTCATCCTGGCATCCCCAGAATTCAGCGAACAAAGCCAAAACATCCTCGATACATGCAAGTACTCTCACCCCATCTACCATAGCTCAAAATCACAGATGTAGATCCCAGATATTTTGTATTTGTTTATTTTATTTTTTTAGATTTATAGGCCGCCCTGCCCGCAAGTGGGCTCAGGGCGGCTAACACAAGGGCACACGTGCCAATATAAAAACATAGTAAAACAGACTAAAACTACATTTCTAATATACAAACAAAGTGCTTCAAGCTGATCATGATCTTCAGTTTAAAGATGGTGGGGATGGTATCCAGAATCAGGTCTTAAACTCAGTGGCACCCACACGTCATAGTACCGCAGTGTGATCAATCTCAGGGCCACTCCTGCACCCCGTTGCTCCAAGATCGTTGTTGTTGGTGGTAGTGGTGGCTCCTACTCATAAGCCTGGTGGAAGAACTCCGTCTTGCAGGTCCTGCGGAACTGCATAAGGTCCCACAGGGCCCTGATCTCCTCCGGGAGCTCATTCCACCAGATAGGAGTCGCCACTGAAAAGGCCTTTGCCCTAGTAACTGCAAGCCTGGCCTCTTTAGGGCCGGGAATCACCAGCAGATGTTGCATCCCCAACCGTAGTCCCCTTGGGGGAATATTTGAGGAGAGGTGGTCCCTCAGGTATGTCGGACCCTGGCCGTATAGGGCTTTAAAGGTAATAACCAGCACTTTGAAGTGAATCCGGTATGCTATTGGCAGCCAGTGCAGCGCTTTCAGCACAGGTCGGATGTGCTCCCGCCTGGGGAGACACATCAGGAGCCTGGTTGCAGCATTCTGCAATAGCTGCAGCTTCTGGATTTGCGACAAAGGCAGCCCCATGTAGAGAGCGTTACAGTAATCTAACCTCGAGGTGACCATCGCGTGAATCACTGTGGCCAAGTCATTGCGGTCAAGGAAAGGGACCAACTGCCGAGCCAGCCTGAGATGGTAAAAGGTCGACCTGGCAGTGACTGCCATCTGGGCATCCATAGCTAGCGAGGAGTCCAGGCGCACTCCCAAACTCCTAACCTCCGACGCTAGCACCAAAGGCGCCCCATCAAAGGTCAGGAGAGAGATCCCCAACCCCAAACCAGTGCAACACAGGCCCAGGACCTCCGTCTTCTCCGGGTTTAGCTTCAGTCGGCTCAGCCTGAGCCAACCAGCCACGGCTTGTAACGCCTGGTGTAGATCTTCTGGGGTGGAGTCCGACTGGCTGCCCAGCATTACATAGAGCTGGGTGTCATCTGCATTATTGATGACATCCCAGCCCATGCCTCTGGGCAATCTGGACAAGGGGGCACATGTAGATGTTAAACAACATTGGGGAAAGCACTGCCCCCTGAGGCACCCCGCGTTCAAGCGGGTGTCTCTGTGACTGTTTTTCCCTTAGCGCCACCCTTTGTCCCCGACCTTGGAGAAAAGAGGCAAGCTGTTGAAAGGCAAGCCCCCATATCCCCACGTCGGCGAGACGGCGGGTCAGCAACTGGTGGTCGACCGTGTTGAACGCAGCCGACAGATCTAACAACAACAGCACCACCACGCCGCCTCAATCCAGATGTCTCCGGAGGTCGCCAGTCAAGGTGACCAGCGCAGTGTCCGTCCCATATCCCGGGTGAAAGTGGGACTGGAAAGGGTCTAAGATGGAAGCATCATCCAGAAAGCCCTGTAGCTGTATTGCCACCGCCCTCTCTATAAGTTTGCCTAAATATGGCAAATTGGACACCGGCCGATAATTGGCCAATACAGCCGGGTCCAGAGTTGTTTTTTTCAGAAGAGGGTGGACCATTGCTTCCTTGAGTGCCCTTGGGAACTGCCCCTCAGAGAGGGACATGTTGACTATCTCCCGTAGGGCACCTCGCAACCCCCCGTGGCCCGCTTTAATGAGCCAGGAGGGGCATGGATCCAGGCTGCATGTGGTTGTGTGCACAAATACGAGCAGTCTGTCAACTTCCTCCAGACTGAGCAGCCCAAAGTAATCCAAACCCGGAATCAAAGACGTGCAAGGGGCCTCAAGTTCACTCACTGTTTCAACTGTGGCAGGGAGGTCGTGGCGGAGCGCCAAGACTTTATCTGCGAAATAGCTTGCAAATGCCTCACAGCCAATATCCAATTCACTAATATTTTGTCTGCCCTGTGGCAGAGTCGTTAAAGACCGAATCATCCTAAACAATTGGGCTGGGCGAGAGCTAGCAGATGCAATCGCGGTCACATAGAAATCCCTCTTTGCAACTTTGACTGCCATCTCATAGGATCTCATAAACATCCTATGGGATGCTCTTGTGGCCTTGTCGTGAGCACGGCACCACCATCTCTCTAGCCGTTTCAGTTCTCGCTTCATAAGCCGTAGCTCCTGGGTATACCAGGGCGCCAGCCTAAAGAGAGTGCGGAGAGGGCACCTGGGAGTGATCTTGTCGATGGCTGTGGAGAGTTGGCCATGCCAGTTCTCCACAAGTTCATCTAATGAGCCACCAGGGGGCCTAGGATCCCGCAGGGCCATCTGAAACCATATTGGGTCCATTTGGCTCCGCGGGTGAGCTAAAATCTGCTCACCGCCTAAACAGGGTCGGGGTGGAAAATTCAGACAGGCCTTCAGGACATAGTGGTCCGACCATGGTACTGCCTCTGCAGTAATCTGGTCCACTAAGACCTCAGCCGCAAAGACCAAATCGAGCGTGTGACCGGCCCGGTTCATGGGGGTCGATACAAGTTGGGAGAGTCCTAGCGCTGCTATGGATGACACTAGGTCTATTGCCTGATTGGAGGTCGCATCATCGGCATGGATGTTGAAGTCACCCAAGACTACCAGTGTAGGGTGCTCCAGCGCCCAGCCTGATACGGCCTCCATCAGGGACAGCAGGCTACTGGCCGGTGCGTTAGGTGGTACACCACTCCTCCCCCCCGCCCCTTAGTCCATGATTGGTGCAGGACCGAGAACCCAGGTGGGGCAAGCTGGGAGACAATTACAGTCTTCCCATCCCACACCCAGGTCTCGGTCACACATGCCAAGTCTACCGGCTGTTCCAAAACAAAGTCCCAAAGGAATATGGTATTTTTATTGATAGACCTGGCATTGCAAAGCACCAATGTCGGAGAAGGGGTCCCAATCCTAGCCCCACTGCTAACATTCTTTTGGATGGGTCACAGGCTGGAAGGGCGCCAAGCCCTTTTGTTTCTCAGCTTCCTTCCCTTGACCTTCTGCCTAGACCCACCGCTGTACTTTCCCCTCCCCAAGAGCACCGGAATATGCGTGTTGTCCAGACATTGCAGCCACCACAGGTCCACGTAAGTGCTTCATACCACTGGTAGCTTACAAATGCCATTTCTCCTAAATATGAGCTGAACACTGCTCCAAGTTTTCTTAGCATTTCCCTCTTTGCCTGAGAACATAAAACCAAAGCTCCAAAGAACAACCAGCAAAAAAGCTTGCATTTAAAACAAACACTAGAAATTTATCTTTGTAGGTGCCTGAGCTCTATTCAATATTGTTCTCTGCTAGAACTGGTTTAGTGATTTAAGTGTGTGAGCCATGGACCAGGAAGTCCCCAGTTAACATACTACATCAGGCAAAAGGTCACTAGATAACTAGGCAAATCACTAGACCTTGTCATGCACCCAAAGTATGCAAATGGAATACAGATGGAGTGGATCACAGCAGGAAGTTCTGCTCCTGTCCTGTGCATGGTTGTTGTATGGTCTGAATAGAGCCACTGTCTATGTACATTTGGCTCTTTTCACATTAGGGATGTCAGCCTCCACGTGGGTCCTGGAGGTCTCCTGGAATTACAACTGATCTCCAGACGACAGAGATCAGTTCCCCTGGAGAAAATGGCTGCTTTAGAGGGTGGATTCTATGTAAATATACCCTGCTGAGGTCCCTCCCCTCTCCAAACCCTGCCCTATCCAGGCTCCGCCCCCAAATCTCCAGGTATTTCCCAGTCTGGAGCTGGCAGCCGTATTTCACATGATCGGGAAATCCTGAGTTTCCATCCACACAAACATAGCTCTATATATGGTACACAAATGTAGATTCCTTTTTAAAAAAACATTTGTTAAGAAACTCAAGACAACTTTACAAATAAAGTAGGTTAAACAAGAAAAAACAAGTTTTAAAAAAGAAAAAAACTACATGTAACTAAAGTGTACAGTACTATAACAGAAATATACAAAACTACATGAATTAGTCAAAACCAGTTAACTAAATCTATTTTCTGGATGCAAGGCAAGCAAACTGAATCTATCTCATTTAAGCATTTACCTTTCTATAGATAGTTAAGAAATACCAGTGTGGTCCTGCAATACTTGTGTGTGTGGGGGGGGAATCCCACACAGACTTTCTTGCCAGGCCCATCTCAACTCCCAGGCTGCACCGCTGCCGGCAGATCCAGCGCAACTCCCAGGCTGTGCTGCTGGTGGCAGCATGCCCAGCATGGCTCCTGGACAGCACCACCACCACCACCATTGGACTCAGCGTGGCTCCCTGGCACTGCCATGGCCACTACTGGGCCCAGTGCAGCTCCTGGGCTCTGACGATGATCAACAGAGATATTTTACTTTTGGGAGAATTTAAACATACACACCCATGTTGTTGTTTTTTTAAGTTCCAAATTTTTCTATGGGGTCACTCAAGTTTACAGAAAAATCTGCTTAGTGCAAGTGTGGCCCTGATCTTTGGATTTAGGTATCCACAGATAGGGGGCACATTTGAGAGTATCTAGATATTTCTCTCCCCCCCCCCCCAGTCCATTCCCAGATATCTGGAGACATTTCCTTTTTCCAGAATCTAGCATAAAAAAATCTAACTATAGTGATCATGTGTAATGTAATGCCCGGGAATCTTTTAGGGAAAGTTCATGACATTATTTAGCAGCAACACTTCAGGAGCAAGAGGTATGTACACACCTATGCCCAACTGCAGTTTTTCAATAAATGTGTGAAATTTATCCTTGCTTCAATATCTTTCTAGACAAAGGTAGTTCCCCTCGTCTCATTCACCATTTGGAATTCAACACTATACGGAACATTAGATTAATTCACCTGTGTGTGTATTCCTTACCTGCCAGTTCTGGATGAGCAAAGAAACCAGAGAATCACACAATTCTGCTCCTGATGTTGTTGACAATAACTGGCTGGCGGGGAAGACCATGAGGACCTCAGGACACTTGGTGTCTGGACTTGTCTCCAGTCTTTATTTTTCTCTTGCAGACTGGCTCCCCAGAACAGGAAGGATTCTTTAATCTGCTGACCCATGTACAGAGTGGGCGTATGGATGAGCAACGTTGTGACATTCAGATCGTGCATAGCAAGAGCAGCCCGGACCCTGAGAACAGTGAGTTATCCAAGGTGCTTTCAAGGCGGGAAATTCAAAACTGCTTGTTTGGATGCTGCATGACTGGCAAGAGCTAGCAAAGCTCTTAAACTCTGCCTACCCCACCCCCACCTTCCCCACTAGCAGAGGTCCATCTAGATTATTTGGCAGCTCTGAATATGATCTGTAGGATTCTCAGCTAAACTCAAAAGTCAAAATTCTGACATTGCTTGCTCAGTAAGTCTATTTGGTAGTTCTCACAAGCTGGACTCTTAACAAAAACAAGTTCCTGTGTCAGAGACTAGAATCTAACTCCACAGATCAATCTTATGCAAATAACAGACTTACTGAGATTGTATACTACTGGAATATTATCCAATTTTGTGAAGTGTTAATTAAAGTTTAGAAGGGTAATAGTGCTAAATAGAACACAGGAACATTCTGAGCCTGGAACATATACAAATCCTGATCCCTAGAAAATGGAACACCAACACTACTACTGTATTATCCCTGCCTATTTTCCTCTCATGATCTCTGTTCCTTGGACAGGTGACAGTCCCAGCCCACCACCAGAGATGGACCATTTAATGGAAATGCTGGCTAACACACAGAGCCGGCGGATGGACGATCAACGTGCCACCTTTAACTACCTCCCTGGTTTCCAGAATGTTGAAAATAATGCCAGCAGCAAACCAGCTTCCGGGGCCACCAAGGTGAGGGCAATTGAGAGAATGTCTTATTAGTTTACCTACATAGTTTAATGATATGTCTAGTATACCACACAACTGGGCTTACTACAGCCCCAGCCTGTTTCCATAAATTCAGTGGCTTCTTGCCATTAAGGCTGGAAATAGAAAACAGAAGTTTGAGAGGTAAAAACTGAGGCCTTGTTGCCTGTAACGTAGATACTAATGTCTTTTTTCCTCACTATCATCACATACATTTTAAACATTTTAAAATATGTTGAAGCATTACAAATACCTACAAAGCCTAGGGGGCGGGCACATGCAACAAGCCCCACCCCCTGCTCCCAGCAGCCCTCAGTCGGGCCATGAGGAGCAAGAAGCAGCCAGGTAAGTTGCAGAGCCCCCCCCCCCACCGTCTTCAGGTACAAGCTCTTCCTCCTTCTGTGAGGGCAGATCTGCACATCCCCCCCCCCCCCCCCCCCATCCCAACACCACCCCGCCATAACAATCAGTATTAATGGGTCGGCATTTGCACCAGCAGCTATAACTACTGATTGTAAATGTTTATAATGTAATGTTTTATTGAGCAATCAAAAACAGTCCAGTGGAGCCTGAGCAGTGAGTGTTGCCTTCTGACACACTTCCGGTGATGTCAGGGGGTGTGGTATATGCAAATAAGTTATGCTAATGAGCTCCTCCACCTCTTTTTCTACGAAATGACCCCTGATGATAAGTATGCACAATCAAGTGTAATGATGCCTATATAAAATCTTAAGTGTTCTACAAACAAAATTATTCCATCTGGGCATCCACCATTTGGTTGACATTACGTGCAAAAGAATCCTAAACTATCTCCTGCGGCCACAGCCCCTAAGCAGAAATTCCACCTTTATTACTACATCATGCCCTGTTGTGGCTGTTTACACACTGTCATTTAGTCTGGAACTACCATGATTTATTCATGTAAGCCAGACAACACTGTAATCAGCTTATTGTATTGCAGTGTTTTCTGTGTAGTGTTCATGTCTTCCCACCCCCACCCTCCGGCCCAATTTTGGGGCAATTTCCCTCCACATTTAAAATGCAGTTGCAGAGCTAGCTATCCATACATGACCTGACAAAACTCTATTGAGGCACCTCTTCTTCTTGCCTGTGCTTAATTACTTCCAGTGCTTAGAATGGCATCCCTGAACAGATTGTTTTTCTAGGGAGTAGGAAATCACCTTTGCAGCAAAAGTGATTATTCAATATTTTATTATTATAATGGCACAAGCCCAAAACCACAATCATATGTAATAAAAAAGAGTACACCTGGTAGGCAAAGAGAAAAGCAGCAATTCAAACCTTCCCTCCTGTCCCAAATCTTTCTTGTCTTATATTTATTATTTTATTTACATTATTTATAGTCCACCATCCTCACATGGACTCAAGGTGAATTACAATTATGCTTAATTAATTATTTCCTGTTCACTTGTGGTGCCCATGATACCTCAGGTATGAATGTATTTTTAATTCTAATGGGTTTAGGACCGCATTTCAGCAATTTACTGGCAGTCCTAAATTGTGATTTTAATTTTTGTTTTTTTTTAATGTATTCTATTTTATGTATTTTATCTAGATTGCAAGCTGCCTTGAGTTCTGTAAGGTAGACAGGCAGCTAATTAATGTTTTAAATAAATGAATGGATTTATTTGTGTGGTGGGGAGAGATTTAATAACTGTATTTCTCTTTGGTTAAAATGTGTTACAAAACATCTGTGGCAAAGGAACTGATAAAGGATCTATTCAGAAATATCAGGGCACTAAGAGTGAAAGGAAGTAATTAGTTAAGCAATTAACACTGAGCTGCAGAAGCAGTAGAGTTATTCACTTAACAGGACTTAAGGAGAAGAGGAACTTTTGCTGAATGAAGTTTACTTACAGATAAGGATAATAGTAGATTCTTGACCTTGTGGACTGGTGCTGCCAGATTTTTGTGGAGATTACAGGGCTACAGAAACAAACATCAGTCCACCTGGAGGAGGAGGAGGAGATTGGATTTATACCGCGCCCTTCACTTGGAGTCTCAACAGGGTGGGGCTGAGAGAACTCTGACACTAACTGCTCTTTTTCAAGGACAGCTGTGCCAGAGCTTGTGACTGACCCAAGGTCACATCAGCAGGTGCAAGTGGAGGAGTGAGGAATCAAACCCGGTTCTCCCAGATTAGAGTCCGCCCACTTAACCACTACACCAAACTGCAGCTGAAAATGGACAGCCGGGGCGGTCTGGTCATTTAATTTACTAGGAGAGTTCCCCATGGGCTGCTGGTGGCCAGAAACAAGTAGAGCCAAGCCCTGGCAGCTCTGCCAGCCAATGCTCCCTCTAAGCTGTGGAGCCTTGTGGGCAAAAATTCTACTTTGTGAGCTACTGGGTATTAAAGTTCTGAGCGAGCGATTTGGCTCCTGTATAAATCAGTTTGCTCTGGAGCCCTCCTTCCTGAGCTAAGACAAAAATGTGTGAGCCGGAGGCTAAAAAACTGTGAGCTAGCTCACACTAACTCAGCTTAGAGGGAACACTGCTGCCAGCACTTCAGGAGCTGCTTGACTCACATGCTTCAACATTTGGCATTGCTGTTGGCTGGCAACTGTGCAGGAGGCGGCAATGGGTAAACTGATGCTGCGCAAGATCCCCATCCCTGACTGATAGCTGCTGCAGAAAGGATACTACAGGTTGTGTAGGAGGGGAGCTTGGAAGAGGAGGAGAAGGAGGTTGACCACTAACTCCCTCTTCTCTGGAAGTGAAGGGTGCTGGGCCGAGGACAAGGGGGGTCAAGCCTGCTGGACGTGCAGGACTCTCACTTCCCCCAACACCCATCATCAACACCACTGGCTAGGTCTAAGCTAAGTAGCTTTGCAGCATCACTGCACAGGTTGGCTTTTTTTTTTAACTCTTCCCCTGTGGAAAAGCACTTTTCAGCAGCACAAGGTCATAATGAGGAAATGCCATTTGTTATTTTCTGGAGCCCAGCACTAAGAAGAGCTTCAGCTGGTTCACAAATGCACCAGCATCTTCAAGTCAGATCTGAAAGATTAAGAATCCCCAAATGATCATGTCATTAATTTATTACTTCTATGTGCAAAAAAAAAAAAGACTTCTTGTTTTTCCAACAAATCTTAAACAGCAGGGTCACTATTATTCAAATTGTTCAGACAAGGAAATGAAGGCTGAAGGTTGAAGGCCAATAGGTTTGCCTGTGGCTGGACTACATTTGAAATCTAAATTCCCAGGTCAGATTACTACATGTACATCCATTCCTGAAAACTGCCATGTAATTATTTTAAAGGAAAATGTCTAACTACCATGAAAACATCTTGAAAAGGAGACAGCAGTGCCTGCTACCGGGCAGGGTTTGGGGATCTTAAGCTGGTTTCTCATGCCTGACAAGTTTCCATTGATTCCATTCCTCCTTTTCCTGTGTTCCTATACCATTTTTCACATGGCTGATTATTTAACCGAACATGGATACCACTGCCTCACTTAAATACTGAAGTCTCTCCTAGGGATGCCAGCCTCCAGGTGGGACTTGGGGATACCCTGGAATTACAGCTCATCTCTAGACTACAGAGATCAATTCCCCTGGAGAAAATGGATGCTTTGGAGGATGGACTTTATGGCATTGTACCCCACCTCACAAACCTCACAAACCAAACAAGTTCGTGAAGCAGCTAAAAATTTGTGACAGTTTGTGGTTTGTCACAAACCACAAACCAAAGCACATTTTCCTAGTTCCTGTCCATTCCTGGTTGTGGAACATTTTCATATGCAAGACACGTTGCCTATCTACTTTCCCTCCCAGATTAATTGCTGCCTAAGAGGGGGGGTAGTTTCAATCAGCAAAATGGCACAGAGATTAAAAGCTAACACACATACGTATACGCCAGTCACATATCTCCAACGTAATGTGTAGGTCAAGACCTCAAACCTTTTAAACTGGCACCTAAAATCAATGTAGACTCTGCACTGACTGGGATGTACATTTCATTTTAAATCCAAATTCTCTCCTGCCTCAATAGCAATTGTGTGAGGCACAAACAGCTCAAGAGAAAAGCTGTGTTCCACTTAGTGTGATCTCTAAAAAAATCACTCACATACTCATGCCTTCTTAGAACTGCTTCAATTCTATTTATATCCATACAATGGTAATATGGACCCGCATTTCTACCTGCCTGTATCCTACACGTACATACGGAAGAGAGCTGGGAATGGCCACTGCCAGCTACCAAAGGAAGGCTGCTGAGGTTTGTTACATTTGTTCAATAGTTTTCTCACTGTCTCTGACTCTGCTCACCTTCCAGAGTTGTAAAACGAACGCAGACATCTTGACTACTCTTTGTATGCTAACCAGTCCCTCACTGCATCTACTCTTTAAATGCTTAGGGTATCCTCATCTACTCTCTCCATGATATTGTCCAACCCTTCCTGGGCAGAGATCCCAGTCTACAACTTCCTTCCATTACAGAGGAAGGAACTGAGACTTCGGGTCACAAAGAGACACCCTGCAGAACTGAACACTTTTGCCCAAACCAGGACTTTTCACACATATGCACTATATGTCTGTTTCCTGTGACCTTGTTAATGCCCCTGATGCAAATATTAACTTTGCCGGTTGGCTCTCTTTTGACAGACTGTCACTAACCTTGCTCCGTTATGGACATTCGTGTACTACTGTCCTCCTTGTTCAACTGATTAACTCTCTGTTTCTCTCTTGTGTCTTCTGACTGGATCTACGTGAGGCCGTGTCTGTGGTGTGTCCTGTCATGTCCACAAGAGGCTGCTCCCGGCTGGCATTTTCTGCATACCTTTAAAAACCTGAGACTAGTTGACTTTGTGGTAGGGGTGCAAAGAGAAGGGAAAAGCCATTCCTGGGTGCTATGAAGCTCTTGCAAATCTAGGTACATTTCCTGGAGTTAACAGAACGGAACTGAAATGTTAAGAGTCTGCAGCAAACAGGGATTAGGAGCTGACTCTGGGGAAGAGAGACACAGAGCAAAAGGGCAAGCCCAGCCTTTTCCTTGCATCTCAGCAAGTGTGGGACAGCCACCAAGCAGCAGGACCAGACTGGGTGGCAATGTTTTCAGTGCTGCAGATGAGCCCAGACTCTAGAAAAGGCAAATTAGAAAAAAAAAACACTGTTTAACTATGCTAGGGTAAGCAATCCCATTTGCAAGGCTCAGAGAACACCCACCCCTTTTCCTGCACACACGATGAATTGCAAGCTACGAAGTATGTCACTAGTTGACCCCCATCTCCTTGAATGGATGGCAGTTGCATTAAGCTGTGCCTGCTGCTACAGAGATTTCCCTCACCCCATCCCCAATAACAGAGTTATGGGAGAGAATGTAACACAACAGCAGATACAATAAACATACACTTAGAAAGGGCATAATCAGACCGAAGTACTCTTCATACTCTCTGTGGCCCCCTGCAGAGGATGGAGGCAGTACCAGTGTTCCAGTCTGAGGCTCAGCTGACAGAATTTAGGCTCCAAGCCTACAGGTGGTTTCAAGGGAGGTAGTGTGCACTGAAGTTGAGCCCTGTTGCTTGTCTTCTTTGCAGAACTATTTTGATGTTCACTCCAAGAGCTTCAGAAGCTTTGATGGCAGTTCAGCATGTTGGACTTGAACTACTCACATGTTACAGTGCACTGCAGCAGATTTCCCTAAAACTGTAGCCCTCACCCATTGCAGACTTGGAATCCAGCTGAGTTGCCAGAACATGAGAGGGAGACACATGCATCAGAATCATGTGACAGGAAGAGGGGACACAGAATTATGACTTCACTGGGCCACAAGCAGCACACCAAGATTGCTGGGGATGCGAAACGGAAGCCAAGCACCAGGTGGCATACCACAGTTAGGGAAAAGCCACAGAGCCATTAAGAAATCCCCTCTTCCTCTGACTGACTTCACTTCATCCTGCTGCTCCTCTGAGGGTGTATGCAAAGTGGGGCAGGAGGTGTGGCACTCTTGCTCTCGGTGCATGCACACTGGCAACACGAACCTTCCAGAATGCAACAAAAATCAGTACCTCTGTAGGAGTTCAGGTGGAGGTTCCATGACATACCTGAGGGTCCCGGCCCATATGGTGGTGGGGAGGGGATCAGCCTACCAAGAATTATATTCTAGCTTGACATGGGCAACCAGATTTTCCAGCAGCAGGTGTGAGACACAGTGAGAGGTTCTGAATAGGTAGGTTCAGCATTGGGAAGAATGGGGCACTGATAGAGGTACCCTGAAGACTTCAACAAGGGCAAAATTATGTTGGCAAATTCCCTTGGTAAAATGCTTAGAACACACACCTCAAAAGACAACCCATCACTGACATGGAGCAAAAAGTGATGCTACAGCAGGCAAAAATAGCCAAGGAACACACTGCACCCTCCCAGCCTCTTGGAAGCTTTATTCAAATTGTGTTCAATCCATATGTGTCTGTGCTTGTATCTTATGTGTTTATTATGGAAACTCCATGGAGAGTGGTGAGAGAAGGTCCCACCTTCACTACACTACCACTGTGGTATCTTCTTCTTTGCAGAAATGAGTACCTTTCCAACCTTGGTCAGGGAAAACAGCAGACAAACAGAAAGACACCAGCTGATACCACCACCAAGCATAGCACACCGCCACTGGCCCCAAAACATCCCTTTCCTGCAGTACCTGCCCCACTTATTCTCTGTACATGTCCTGCCATTCCAATAAAAGCAAAGTTGGTTTCTTCCTTGTCAGTTTCCTTAGCAGATGACCCTTAGCACCAGTGTGGGAAAGGGGAGCTATGCCACAGGGACATGAAACCACTACTACTGCAAGGTTGTACTAGGGAGGAATATACTATTTTTTGCCATACACACAGTGGAGAAAGCATGTTAATAAACCACATTTTAAGAAAATGATAGAATGCTCTTAAAATCCTGACTTCATCTTCGATACACTGAGTAGTACTGATGAACTTGTACCGCATTTCAGTACTAGAAAGAAAGTGTGTTTCCCATACAAGTGACCAATGCCATTCAGGACACATCCTTCTCAGTACACAAAGTTTTTTTTTCTGAATTATGAAGTGAATCATACCAGTGAAGGGATCGGGATGACCACTGACTCTGCATGCCACAGTTAATTCTGTTTATACATAACCTCCCCACTCCCAGCCCAAATTCACGTTACAACTCCTTACACTGTATAGGTTAATCAAGTGTATTCTTAACAGTAAGAAAGGTGTGGAGAAGTAAAAGGCGTACAAAGAACATTAGGTGAAGGAATACTAATGTGTTCTCTAGTTTTAAGGGTTTTATATTTCCCTTCGTCTATCTCGATCTGTCCTTGAGAAAGGCATGGCAGAAGCACACACTCAGGGCATATTATGTCCAGATGGCAAGATGCAGAAGACATAACTGAACGTATTCTGGGGGAAAAGAGATATCTACATTCCCAGGAGATCCCCCATACTCGCCACCGGAAGCCAGGCATGCAGAACAAACAGCCCGTGCTGGTCTGTTTCAGCCAAAAAGCAATGTGGGCTGGAGCATCTCACGTGTCAGAGCTACGAGATCAGAAATGCCGGAACAGTCTGCACCCAATGAGCACACATGAAGGTGCCCTATAGTGAGGCTGACCATTAGTCTATCTAGATCAGTATGACCCTATTCTGACCAAATCAGCTCTTCAGGGTCTGAGATGAAGTTCTTGCACATCACCTACTTCCATCTCTTTTTAGCAGGAGACACGAGGGATTGTACCTTGGACCTTCAGCTTGCAAAGCAGATGCTCTTTCACCGAGCCACAGCCATCCCCTAAAATACTGTAAAATGTGAGCTACTTATGTAATTGAATTTCTCAAGACCTTTATTTGTATTTTTAAACTAGCTGCATTGTAGCAGCAGGCCTGCAACCAGGATTTTGTGGCTTGTGGAGCAAATTTGCTTCTGGTGGGGCTGAAGTTCTCAGTGCAGAAAGAACTTTACAAAAACAAAGGACAAACAACACATAGATAGGGGAAAGAATGTATACAGTTCAACAAGGAATGCAAACCAAAAGAAAAAACCTAGCTGGCTATTTTACACACTACATAGCAACAGGGCAGAAGTTGAAGAGAGCTTCAAGGCAGTCTCTTCTCTCTCTGAGTCTTCTCAAGCTGTCTATTCTACATAGGTATTCTTAAACATTTAGCCAATAGAAAGCTGTTACCAGGATAGATCTCTAAATTGCAAGCTGTGAACCACTTTAGAAGACAGTTCTCAGCTGCTGCAAGTTAATCACCTCTGTCAGCCTAAACAACAATTCTCAATACAATCTGGCAGGTGGGGGTGATGACTTCTATAGTCAAGAAAGCTAACATTTTGGCAGAAAAACTTTCTTAAAGGAGACCAGTTTCTTGACACAGAGTTAGAAGGGATCCTAGAGGTCACCTACTCCAACCTCCTTGCTCAGTGCAGGCATTAGTCAACTACACTCTGTTTAAAGGAGCAGACGCCTTTAAAAATGTTTTAAAATGATTGAAAAAAAGCATTCACAGGATAAATTCTTGTGGGGCTGTTCCTTTAAGAAAGGGGGCGGAGCTGCCAAAAGCCCCACTGTAGCTAAGGGCCTGCATAGCAGTAGTAATGGGTAAGAAGGTATCCAACTTTTCCCCATGCTGCCTTCCCAGTTTGTCAGTGTAATCCTAAACAGAGTTGCTGTTGTTGTTGTTCAGTCGCACAGTCGAGTCCGACTCTTCACAACCCCATGGACAAGATCATGCCAGGCCCTCCTGTCTTCCGCCGTCCTCCGAAGCCCAGAGTTATGCCCTTCTAAAGCCACTGAAGTCAGTGGGCTTAGAAGGGTGTAATTCTGCTTAGGATGCAATATAAATACAGATTAACCATGCTTTCCCCAATGCATTCAAAGTGAACAAAAACTGTAGAGACTCCCACAGTACCATCCTAAGTAGAGTTACTCCCTTCTAGTCCACTTAGAAGTTAATGGGCTTACAATGGCATTGCAAATCACCTTCATAATACGTGGCTATGAGGAGATTTGATACAGTCACAAAAGATTGTATTTGATTTATGCTCTGTCTCTCAAATCCCTTTTTTCTTTTTGACTATAATCCAGCTCTCTTTAGAGAGAATGGAATTCTAAAATGATAATAACACCTGCACCACTTCCTGCTAATGCTCACTGTTCCCAGCAATGATAAGAATGAGTTCACTATGCACCTGCATGAGTAGTAAATCCTTGACTCAGCATCTGTACGCTTAAAACATAAGAACATCAAAATCTGTGTTCTTGCATGTGTAAAGTAAGTTGATGACACATGTCAGAACCAGGGTTCCCTCTAAGCTGAGTGTGTCAGAACCTGAGCCTGTAAAATTGGTTTACTGTGTTATACAGTTCTCAGCAATGGACTTCCATAAACTGGCATAAAAACTAAACAGTGTCTAAGGGTAAAGTTAAGAAGGAAATTTTAGCTGCAGAGAAACATAAAAAGCAATAAGAACATAAGAGACGCTCACCAAGTAGAATTTTTGCTCACAGGACTCCATACCTTAGAGGGAACCTGAGCCTGTAAAATTGGTTTACCGTGTTATACAGCTCTCAGCAATGGGCTTCCATAAACTGGCATAAAAACTAAACAGTGTCTAAGGGTAAAGTTAAGAAGGAAATGTTAGCTGCAGAGAAACATAAAAAGCAATAAGAACATAAGAGACGCCAATGTTGGATCAGGCCAAAGGCCCATCCAGTCCAACACTCTGTCATACAGTGGCCAAAAATACCAGGT